AGTGTCACCACTTTTATGGATAGGCACTACTCTCGCAGTCTTCCAAAGTTTGGGTATGTATCCAGACACCAATGATTCGTTAATTAGAGTTGAGATGGGTTTAGCAATTGCCGGCGCACTGAGCTTCAACAGCATTGCTGGGATTTGATCAGGTCTGGACTGGTTTTTTATTTTTAGATTATTAAGATGTTTTTTAATGACACTAACAGGTTCATATGCGTTCCTTTTACCCTCACCTTACGCAGCGGGGCATGCAAATTCCAAATTTGTAGGAGTTCAGACTGAAAGTATTCAACAGCACAGTCTAGATCTGGGATAATGTTTAATCTGTGCCATGGGAGATTCTTGATGTCATTTAAAAAGGATATATATATAAAGTAAAATAAAAATTTGTACAATTTTTTTACCATAAAAGTTTACCATACAAGAGACAAAAAAAAATAAACCTAACAGACGAAATATAGAATAGACCATAGGACTATAATGTTTTTTATAATGTGCTTTGATGCTTAATTCCGACAAGCCCTTCTCTTTAATTTTGGATTTGGCATGCTTTTTCTTGTCCACAATGTTTATTTTCTTCCTCTGTATACGTCATCGCGGACATCAGGATGTCCTTGTGTCTAAGCGTCCTATAACGTCTTATGAAATAGATACTCGTCGAGCGCAGGTGGACTATTTGTTCTTTTATAGATATCTGGTGTTTGTTTCATTTTTATATATGTATTTAATAAATTTGAGTTTTTTATTATATTTAAAATTCGTATTGGAGGTATACTCTTCTAGGTCACACACAGTTGCTCACCAGTTGTGGTTGATTACTACTCCCAGAAAGCTCAGTACACTTCCCTCTAGCCGCCAAACCTGTTGATTTGCTTTAAAACTGAACTATGGTAGGAGAAGGAAACCCATTATTTTTCTTATTCAAGAAACAGATAATGCAGTTAAAATAATGCAAAAAAAAAATACATTGATGAAATAGAAAAGTTTCCTTATCACACTGCTTAATTGGCATGCCGATAGCTAATGACAGACCCCTCCCTAACTAGGAAGAGACTTATCCCATAATCTTCTGCTCAGAAGTAATTCATGGCATAAGTAGTTTATTCCTTAAAGGGACACTATAGTCACCCGACCACTTCAGCTCAATGAAGTGGTCTGGGTGGCAGGTCCCTCAGGTTTTAAACCTTCACATGTAAACATAACAGTTTCAGAGAAACTGCTATGTTTACATTTGGGGTTAATCCAGCCTCTAGTGGCTGTCTTCTGGACAGCCACTAAAGGCGCATCTGCGATGCAGAAAGGGCGAATTTCACCTCCATCGCGCAGAGCGTCCATAGGAAAGCATTGAAAAAATGCTTTGCTATGGACACTTTGAATGCGCGTGCGGCACTTGCCGCGCATGTGCATTCAGCTCCAGTGACGTCGGATGGGGAGGAGAGGTCACCAGCGCCGAGGGAGCCCGGCGCTGGGTTTAACCCCTTCAGCGCCACGGGAGGGGGGACCCTGAGGGTGGGGGCACCCTCAAGGCACTATAGTGGCTCCGCTTTGTTTTCCTGACACTATAGTGATCCTTTAAGACCAGTCCCATGCCTCACATAGGATGAGTGCAATTGCTCTGTAAACTGATTACAGTCATATCATAACTGCTTTAATGTTACACTTATCTTTGGGCACTGTTTAGTGAACATGGATGTATGCAGTGATTGGCAGAGCCACTGCCCACAAATGCATGGCACACACGTGGTCTCCACACTCTCTTGGGAGGAGGCAGAGCTGATGGCAAACTGTACTGGATTGTGTGCATGCTGCATGGACAAGTTGGTCAAAACAAATCCTCCGTATCTCTCTCCAAATAAAAGTTCATTATCTCAAAAGAAAACATGGTTTGAAAATTGAGAGTGAATTGCACCTCAGCCACTTCTGCAAGCTAAACTGGTATTAGTGTTTAGAGTGACCCTTTTAGAATGTATGTGAAGAAGTTTAGTTTTGGGGTGATTGAGTTTAACAAGTGACAGAAGACCCTCCCCTAGTTTTTAGCTGTATTAAGAATTCTTGACATATCTACACATATCAACCCTCTTTATCGTCTCTAATTCCACTTCTCCCTCGCCTTTATTTATGTCATAAAATGTTTACAGACTTATGTTGTTAATACACCCAGCAATTCATTTTTAATTTGACTGGAATGTTTTTTTATGTTTTATTTTGTTTTACCTCGCTTCTTGAGATTGTTAGCTCATTTGTGCAGGGTTCCCACCACCTCTCATCCCTTTAAGTGTCACGATTACCAGGAGAACCCAAACACGCAGACAGATCACAGACACACAGAATTGCAATACTGTTCCTTAGAACCTGGCTATGCAAAAGAAATAGAGTAGTCAGGGTACAAGCCAAGGTCAAGGACAACAGAGAGATGGAATACGGAAGGACAAGCCGAGGTCAGAAAACAGAGAAAACAAGAAATGAGCCGACGTCAGTAACCAAAGAATGAACTACAATACAAACGCGCTATTGGGCTATGAAAGACCACAACAGGGCACTGGGGCAAGGGGAATTGGCAAACTTCCAATTAGTGTTAATTACAACATGTGGGAGATGTCTTTTCCCTCTCTTGTGATCAGTAAGGTCATCACTGTGTGCCGGGTCACATGACCGGGTCTGACACACATATAAGGAAGCTGCCTTGGAGCGTGCAGCATCAGAAACACTGTCAGGTTGGGGAGCGGCGGCACGGACAGACGCAATCTGTGAACAGGAACCGGAAGACACTGCTCGCGGGGGCAGGGGACCTGACAGTAAGTAAGACTAGACCTGACTTGTATCCATCGTGAACCCATTACAAGGTGCTGTGGAATATGTTACAGAAGACAAAGATGATACGACTGACAAGGTTATTTACCAAAGTGAGAATTCAAAGTGGATTTCAAGTTTAAGGCCAGAGTAGCCAAAGTGAAAGCATAACGGAATTGGAGAACTTTTTCAATTCTACTATTTTGACATTCAATTTTATATTCACTTTGAATTCACTTTGTATTTTTTACTAGTGTATAACCCTGTGAGTATCTCTCCTCCCCACTAACCTCGAGGGATTTTCCTTTACAGATATATCTTACATAAAGTCTTGGCACCTGTGCTATATTTAACATTATTGCACATTAGGGACACATAGGGTTTATTTCTTTTACTGCTGTTACAAATATACATAAATATATAAAACATGTTATATTAGCCATACGCTGCTGTTTTTACTGACAGCCCATGTTTAGTGACCTAGCACTACAAACATCTTCCCCTACATATACCGTCCACATGTTAGCGATCACTTATTAGCGACTTGTACAATGTTTGCTTTCTAAGTCATTAACATTACAATTGCAACTAGACAGTGAAGGCTCAACCTGAGCAAGCACACACAACTGTGATTGACCTTAAAGGACCACTATAGTGGTCTAAACTTGTTTTCCTGAAACTATATAATCCTCAGGGCCCCCCTCCCGCTGGGCTGAAGGGGTTAAAACCCCTTCAGCCACTTACCTTTATCCAGTGCCGGGCTCCTTCGGCATTGGTGACCTTTCCTCCCCCTCAGACGTCAGCTCCCAAGTGGAGCCGAATGTGCTTGCGCAGCCAGAGCCGCGTGCGCATTAAAAACGCCCATAGGAAAGCATTTTTCAATGGACGTTCTGCATGCTCAAAGCGATTTTCGCATTGAGCATCAGGGAAGCGCCTCTAGAGGCTGTCAGGAAGACAGCCACTAGAGGTTGGATTAACCCTGCAAAGTAAACATGGCAGTTTCTCTGAAACTGCTATGTTTACAGCTGCAGGGTTAAAACCTGGGGGACCTGGCACCCAGACCACTTCATTGAGCTGAAGTGGTCTGAGTGACTCTAGTGGTCCTTTAATGCGATAGACACAGGAGATAGTGGAGGTGGTTTAAGCTGAACAGTGGGTACGTTAGAGTAGAGAAATCCGAGGTGTTAGATACACACAAATAGCACGTGCACCTTCCTTTTTCAAACATTTATTTATTGCTTTAGTTTTTTTAAACCTTGGCCTTTTGCTTTATTTTTCTTAATGGTTGACTTGTTTTGAAATTGTGCTTTAGTGTTTAAAGGTAATATCATACACATAACTTAAGAATTAGCTTTTTTTTAACTTGACATTCTCACTGTACACCTTTGTCTAGTTTGGTGAGATTGTATTTTTTTTGTTAATTGCACTTTATTGGTGTATACCTGAGTGAAGACTCTAATTTCCTCCCTTCTTCAGCCTATGCCATATATTTGTGATTGTTACATCCTGTGTGTTTTTTTCAGAGGTTATTATGAACGGTGGCCAGTTTTCGACTCCGGCCGGGAATAAAAAGAGGGGATGGGGGGAATAAGAAGAGGGGTAAGAAGAGGGGAGGGGGGAGTAAGAAGGAGGGGAGATAAGAAAAAGAGGGGGTAAGAAGAAGAAGGGGTGAGAGAAAAAGATGGGAGAGTAAGAAGAAGAAGAGGAGGGAGTAAGAAAAAGAGGGGGGAGTAAGAAGAGGGAGAGGGGGAATAAGAAAAGGGGGAGGGCGGAGTAAGAAAGAGGGGAGATAAGAAAAAGAGGGGGTAAGAAGAAGAAGAAGGGGTAAGAAAAAGAGTGGGGAGTGTGCACCTTCCTATCACTCCGGCCGGCCACCGCGGACCAGCAAGCAGCTCGGCCACGCTACAGGGGAGAAGCTGCAGCCGCCTGAGGCTCTTAACAGAGCGCTCGCTCAGGCGGCTGTAGTATTTAAAGGGCCGGCCCGCAGCGGCCGGCCTTACAGGAATTTAGGGCGGCCTGGGGGGCAATTGCCTCCCTGCCCCCCGGCCCAGCCCGCCCCTGGCAGTGAGAGGAGCAGGGCCGCCGGACCGGGGAAGCTGCCACCCGGCCCGGCGGCCGGCCCCCAGGTGCCGCGGCCCACCGGGAAATTTCCCGGTATCCCGGTGGGCCAGTCCGGCCCTGGGCGTACCTAAGGTATTTTTCACCCAGGCAGATATGTATATGTTGCTTGGCACTCCCTTTGACACTTCAAGCAATATAGGCTGTTATGGGTTCCAAATCCCATCTACTCTGATGATTACAACATACTCTATATACCCCTCCCCTTTCTGTATCCCCTCCATTTCTCTCCCAAATCTATGTCCCTATTTGTCTGTCTCCACTTATGTCTCTACCTATTTGTGCCCATCACCAGATCCATTTGCTGTCGACCATTCATTTTCTGTTTGTTCCCCCCCAATTTTTTTTTTATCCTGTCCACTACCAACCCTCACATTCAGTCTTTCCACCCCTTTTTTGTTTGTTAAACCCCGCATTTTCTGTCTGTCCCAATATTCTCTGATTGTCCACACCCTTCTCTGTCAATCTACTTACCCCATCTTCGGTCTATCCACCTTCTAACAACCCCACTCTGTCTGTCCATCCCCCAGTCACATACAGAAGGATTACTTTCCCACAGGACCTGAGGCAAGTTACCAGTTTGCAGGCTCCCTTCATTCTTAACATTCAAAATAAATAGCCATAAATAAATTACGCCCAGTGACTAACATGAACCCAGTTACATTTTCCTTATGTGATCAGTGGCACTAATTCTTTATTTTAAAAATACACATTTTAAATACAGGGATCATTATTATTCTCCATGTTATTTATATATCAGTAAATTAATGTTACAACATAACTTCTGTTGCTTGTGGTGGAACCTAAGCTGACATAAGGTAACTTTGGGAGGTTCTCCGCAATGCTTGTAACATTCTCCACACTATATGACTTCAAAAATGAATTTCCATTGAAGAGGGAAGTGTCTAGGTAAGAGATGTGAAACAGGAAACTCTTTTCTCTAGAAGACTGGCTGGATTGGTCATGGGATTTGATGTCTCCATTGTTGTAGATTGTCAGGTTTTGCTCAGGCGCACCATATGGCTGAACCCGAAGACGCATCAGCCCCATGATGGCCAAGTATTGAGTGGGAAGAGCAGTGTCTACACACAGCGAAAGTTTTAGGTCATGTATGATTGTAAAGTTCAGCAGTTGTCCAAGAGTAGATGTATCCAGGAACCAGACAGTGAGGGCACCGGTATCGACAAGTCGTGACATTGTTCTGTTTCTTTGAAACGTGATCGTCTTGCAATCACATTTGACACTGGCCTGATTGAAGTCACAGTTTCGGACATCGCTAAAGCAGCTGCAATTGCGGATATTGTTGATGTCCCTTTCAAATATCAATGTGTAGTTTTGACTGCTTACAAGGTCTTTAAGAATGCAGAACCCCAAGAAGCCCAATAAAAAGGGTCTTGATCTGTAGAAGGTCATTGATATCCAAAGAGTGTTTCTGTCAACCTTCCGATTACATTTCCACCTGTTTCTGGCTGCGTTAGGCCATCATCTAAGAAACAAAAAAGATATACATAATCAAAACTACAATTTGTGCAGTTTACAAGAAACCCCCAAATGTTTTCTGATCACAGTAATGTAGTTTTGATGACTCCTAAGCACTCTTTAAGTGACTGCCACACGGGCCCTGGTTTCAGTTGGGTTGAAAATGGAAGCAAATTCCTACAACAAATTCTCAGCAAGATTAGCAGACTTTGCAGCTCTTTGTAGACTTAAAGGGAAACCTTTATTTGCCAGAATTAAACATATTATGTTTACTTATCCCATATAAGCATTCTATAGCAACCTTACCAGGACAATATAACCCTGTTAGTGTTGTCATAGCAACTGCACAAAGACACTGTGAACATATCCTGTGAATAGAATAAACATTTTTTTTTAAATGGTATGGAGAGTTTGTAGTAGTTAACTTGGCTTTGCCCCTTTACACCTAGATGGACAATGTGTAAAGTTGATTGATAATTTTATAGAGTAGAGTTGCTATGGTAACACCACCATGCTTATAGCGCTGTATGTTAATGATAACCGCCAGCTGGTGATTGATATCAGGGGTGGTAGACATATAGTGGGCAGATGTTAAAAGCAAGTATGGACAATGGAAACTGTCAGTATTTTTTAACCACAAACATCTACCTGTGGTTGGTATTAAAGGGTTACTCCAACCCTTTTTTATTTTTTTGAATATATTTCTTTACATTTACAATACTCTTTTGGGTATTAGTAATTAGCCCTCCCACGTAAAACTCTATTAAATAAGTTGTGAATTACCTGGAATACAGCATCACGCCAGTTTCCATGCCCCCCTCTGACATTACAGAGTTTCTCGCAAGCTCCAATCAAATAGTTCTCATACAGAAGCATTTGATTGGACCATTCTCACAGGCTGCAAGCGCTCTCTAAACCGTGAAGGGGAGGAAGTCAAGGGTTGGAAATTGATGTTAGGTAGAGTTCAAGACTGCCTAATTCATGTGTGCCGGGGGTGCAACTAGCTTCCACAACAAAAGTGCACATATACGGGTGGTATTTTCAAGCAGTAATATTGCACAAATAGATTCCTAGCACCATAACCACTTCTAAAAGCAGAAATATTTACTAACCAACAAATCTAGGTTGAATGCGGTTTTAAGTCACCACATACCGTATCTCTGTACAATGAATACACTCCAATATGTTTTTTTTTAAATAGGTTCAGTATTCACGCTAGTGTTGTTTAAAGATAAGGTACTATATCTCTGGTAGTAATATAAAACAATTACTTATTTATAACTTGATTGATGGCTGATGTCATCCATAATTAAGTCAAACACGGTGGTGTGTGATACAAAGAAAAAAGGTTCTATGCAGTGGCAGGTAATTAATTCATTCATTATAGTGGAACCATGCTGGACATTAAGAAAGAGTGGGCCAATAAGGTCAAACAGCCCTTGCATTTACCCTGCAATGCAGATATATGTGCACTACATTTTTAATGGTATTCGGAGAAATGATGAGAATGTTTGTGATGCAGACATCTGTAGTGCAAGTTTAGCACTCACTAGTCTAAGTCACATGGCTACTAGATACAATCAATAGTTTATCATTAGGGTTCACAGGGAAGTGTTAATTGTTGGGAGTTCAAAGTGGATAAAAAATATTAGGACAAAGTGTCTTGGATACTTTTTGCAATTTTGGCCTGAAACTTAAATATCCTTTGAATTTGGGACAATGCACACTTACGTGAATAACCCTGTATATTATCAATACGCAGTGTATTTGCCCATCTAACTACTATCCATTAACCCCTTAAGGACAGAGCTTAAATACAGAAAAATGCAAAAAAACCTTTATTTTTACAGTTTTTGCAATAATAATGTGTGCATAATTAGTGCAGGTTAAGGAAAGTAATTAAAAATAAATTTATTTAGTTGTTCTGATTTACAGAATATATAACGTGTCTGGGATTTTAAGTTTTTTTTGGTATTTACAGGTCACAAAGCACAAGGAGTAAAATAAACTTTTAATGTGGAGCGATTTTAGAATTTGGCATGTTTGTCTTGTAAGCTTAATAGCCATAAAAGAAAACAAAATTGCCACACAAAAGTATATATTTATATAAAGTAGACATCACAGGCTATTGTCCTATGGTTGTTTTGACACTTTCTACGTAGCCATTTCACCGCCAACCTCTGCTAAATATTGGAGTAAAATTGCGTTTCTTTTGGTTTTTGGCACACAAACTTATAACAAAGAAATTCTCATGTATCATTTTTCCGCTAGCTTGTACCAAGTGTAGTGGTAATAAGTGTTTTTTCTGCCTTTTTGACACACAAAGTGAGTTTGCACAGTATATTTCGCAAACCTTATGTGTGCTACCAGTGTATAATACTTCATATGTTGCTCAGCTATGTCGGCTGAGTACAGCAATACCCCCGTATGTACCTTTGCCAGGTATATGTGGACATCGGAGGGGCACATTTGGGACACAGCCATTCCAGTTTTTTTCAAACTTTACATTTTTATGCTGTGCCCATGTCCCATTTTAGAGTATTTTACCAGGCTATATAATCCAAATACCCCATAAAGCCATACCATTTCTTAAAGAAGACATCCCAGGGTATTTCAAAAGGCATATTTTGAACCTTAGCGTGGGATTATTTTTCTGCTAGCTTGTACCAGGTGTAGTGGTAATAAGTGTTTTTTCTGCCTTTTTGACACACAAAGTGAGTTTGCACAGTATATTTTGCAAACCTTATGTGTGCTACGACTGTATAATACTTCATATGTTGCTCAGCTATGTTGTCTGAGTACAGCAATACCACGTATGTACCTTTGCCAGGTGTATGTGGATGTTGAAGGGGCGCATTTGAGACGCAGCCATTCAGTTTTTTCTAATGTTGACGTTTTACACTGTGTCCGTGTTCCAATTTGGAGTAGTTTAGACGGTTGGTTATTGAAACTTCCCCACAAACACATGCTATTTATTAAAGAATATACCCTGGGGTAATTCAAAAGGCATATTTTAAAACCTTAGCGTGGGATCATTTTTTCTCTAGTTTGTTCCAGGTGTAGTGGTAATGAGCATTTTTAAATGTATTTTTTTACTTTTTGAAACTTTTTTACTTTTAAAAACTAGTTTTTAAACTTTTGTTTTGCTTATTCATTTTTTTAAACTTTCCTAAATTTTTTTTACAGATTTAAAATTTTTCTAAGCTTTTTTTTTTTTTTACTGTTAACCCCTAACTAGCAGTAAGCAGCACTAACAGTAAATTCCCCATTTTCCCATAACTCCCACCCACCCCAGCTAGCAAAATATATAATTATAAAATATTTAAATTAATTAAATAACTTGAACCCCTGAGGGTTAAAAATATAAATAAAAATTAATCCTCAGGGGTTAAAAAAAAAAAAATAGATCACAGTATAATATTTTGATCACTATAGGCAGTGATCGACTGGCAGGGAAGGGGTTAATTTTATTTGGACTAGGTAAAGGGGGTGTTTTTTTTTGTTTTTTTTACTTAAACGTTATTAAAACTTTTTTTAGCTTAATTTTTAACTTTTTAAAGTTTATTTTAAAACTTTTAACGTTAACCCCTAGTTAGCCTAACACCAAATCCCCCAATTCCCCACTAACTTCCACCCACCCCAGCTAGCTAAATATATACATTTTTAAATATTTAAATTAAATTAAATAAATACATTTAACCTCTGAGGGTTAAAAAAAAAAAAAAAATTAACCCTCAGGGGTTAAAAAAATAAATAAAAATCAGATGACAGTAAAATGTAATCCCTGCCAATTGATTACTGTAGTCAGTAATCAATTGGCAGGGAAGGGGTTAATTTTTAATTAAACTGAGTAAAGGGGGGTGGGATTTTAAATAAACTTTATTTATTTTTTTAACAGGGGGCAGGATCAGCACTGTTCCGGCTCCCTGCACTTCAAACAGAACCAGGAAGTGCAGGGAGGCTGAAGGTGAGTATATGCAGCACATGCTGTCAGAGCGAGCACATGTGCTGGGGCAGCCTGATCGGGTGCTCCCGGTTCTGCCTCTAATACATAGGCAGACCGGAGCACCATTAACCCTGCGATAACCGCGATTGCGGCGTTCCGGGGTTAATTTTAACGGTTGACGGACAAGGTCCGTCACTCGTTGTTATGGCAATCCCCTGAGTGACGGACTTCGTCCGTCACTCGTCGTTAAGGGGTTAATTGATTTCTTCTCCATCAATCCATCCTACCATACATCATAATATATAGCCTTCTATCCTTTGACTATTTGTTTTTCTGACAGGATGTTGGAAGTCAGAGATTTTTTCCCAATTCAGCTATTTTGGGCAAAATTAGAAAGTTGACAATTGTCTATAATTACAGGTTAAATTATTTTATTGCTTAAATGGTTATTCACCGAACTCCTCGTTGTATCTAATTAAATTCGCAGATGCCAAAACATGGACAAAAAATGGTTTATACAGAGAAATCTAAAAGCTATAGTGACATTTTTGTTGCTTTTGCCTCAAGTTTGCCATCCAGTTCTTAATTTGCTACATTTCGGCATTTAGTGGACAACCCTGCTAGACTTTCCTGCATTAATGTCTTCCAGAAATCGCATCTCTGTATACCATCACTAGCATTATAACTCTGCTGTTATGTATCTATCTAGACCATTAATAGTCCAGATTCGGCACTCCTGGTGATGTGTACTACATCTACCCTGATGCTTTACCAGCATTATGGCAAGTACTGAAGGCTGCCTACCCCTCATGAAGACCATAAATCACCATTTGAAATAATGACAAAGCCCTTAGATAGAGTAAAAGGATTTTACAGGCTTCCAAGAACAAAGACAAACAGCCTTTCTCCATATGTTGCATATTTCCTTTACGGTAATGCACTGAAAAACTCCTTCAATACATTGGAACTTAAAAAAAAAAAAAATTCCTGACGTAACTTCACACAAACCATATTGGAATCTATGGAACCTTAGCTATAACAGAGCCATACCTTGCATATGCATATCAGTTTCTGCATTCTGTGTTCCCTGCAGGCAGCTGGATGTTAGGACTATAGAGGGTTTTTGAGATCTTTTCATTTGTTGACATACCACTTTGGCTTTTTACATTGGAAGCTAACGGTCCTCTTGGCAGAAAGCCTTTTCAGCATCCCACACATTTGGCAACGTTACCGAAGGTTGCTGAAAAGTGTGATCTTTGTGAGAATTTTTTTTTATTTTTTTTAAATATGAATAATACAAAAATATTGTTCTTCACTTTTTGTTAAGTTAAAAAAAAAAAAACAACAACCTTACATCATTTTCACATGCGCCAGAGTTTGAAAACATTCTTTCATTAAATTGCTGATGAGTGTTTGACATTTTGTTATTTATAGTTTTAAGATGAAGAGGATGTTCTGTATAGGATTAGAAAAAAGGCTGTTGCACGTGAAAACTTGCATTATGTTTCAAAGCAGGCCCGTTCACGGCAAATGAAGCTCTCTATAATCCCGGTAGGGAAATGGTTACAAATAAATTTTACAGCATTATTAAACAATTTGCTAAAAAAAAGTTACTTACCAGATTTCTTCATTTCCCTTCAGTTCAGGTTATCCTGTGGTTGCATGAATTCTGGTTGCTACGATAGCATTCTAGAGTAGAATGTTTTCTCATTTTATATATTTAGATATTATCTGCAAATTTCCTTTTTTTTTTCTCTGCTAGTCTATTTTTGGTTTGTCTGCCACGCAGCAATACCAGTAGCAGGAAATGATTCTCAGAGCTTTTGGCTTCGGCTTGACTTATTTAAAGGTGCAGAGCCACAAGTACTGCACATTTTAGCTAAGCTGTAAAGCCTGAGAATCACTGGGATTAATTCACTAAACTGTGGGATGTGATAGTGGGCACCTGTCTTATACAACTGTAAAACAATATAACAATATAATACCATATAAGACTATAAAATACCAAAGTTGCAAAAAAAATGCTTCTTAAATAGTATGTATAAATTTCGCATTTTCCCGGCATTTGGTTTACAGGTCAAGCGAGGAAAAAGTAAATAGAAAGGAAAAAGAAGAGCAGCAATAATATCAAATCTATATTTATATATTATATATCTATGTATTAAATATGTAAAATATAAATAGATTGATTTATTTTACTACTTCTCACTTGATTTGTTAATAAAATCAACATGTGTGTAGTGTATGACTTTGAATGTAAGAGTGTGTCTGTATGTTGGAGTTTGAATGTTGAGATGTATGCATATACACTGCCATACACACACTGATACACATATACACATGTACACACTCAGACATACATGGTGATACACAGACACACAGATACAAAGACTGACACACAAACAGATACACACACTGATACACAAACAGATACATAGGTACATACATGCAGATACACTGACACGCATATAGATGCACACTGACAGATTTTAAGCCTACCTTTTGGGTACAGGAGGATGGTATCCCTGGGATGCAGTCAGCTGGCTGAGGCTCCACCCCCTGTTCACTGCAATCTTCCCGCACAGCTCTATTATATCTAGGAGGAAGTGGCCAGCTGTCACTTCCTCCCAGTCTGCCAATATCACAGGGGCCCAATAGCGCTATTAAAGGGCAGCAGCTCTGACCGGGCCCCTGAAAACACTTTTGCCATCGGGTGGCTCTAAGTGTATGAGCCACCCAATAGGCCCCCTGAGCGTGCAGGCCTCCGTGCAGCCACAGTATGTGCCCTACCATTAATGACCTTTTTCTCATCAATCATATCTTTTTTGGTGCCAAGGTTGGAACTCCGAATCCCAAAGCAAAGAAACACACTGTTCTATCGCGCTATTTATTTGCTCAGTTATATGTCAGTATGGCGCTTCAGAGACAAATAATTCACCCAAGCAGCCTAAATATGGGCGAATTGCAATCTGGATAAAACTGATTTCCATCACTACCACCCCCCCCCATACTTCCCCCCGTTCGCCCCTGTTAACCTTTCTTACTGTCTCTAGCACTCCCCCCCAATACTCTTCTCATTCGCTCCCTCCTCCTTACCCCTCCCTTGCCACTACATACACGCACTCTGTAGCAATGTCACGGGGATTCCTACCGGTTCAAGGAAGAGGGTGCCCCCGTGATGCGAGATGGAAGATTCCCCCAGGGATTCTTTGCAAACCACCGAGATTCCAAACGTCTGGGAGTGGCCATCCTCTTCGCGGGGAATGTGCAATTCACTTTTCGTGAAGGGAACCATAGCGGACCACCACTACACCCTGGCCAATGTATATTGCCCCAACCGCGGCCAACACACATTCTTGGTTCGGACGCTATCCCACCTGGAGAAATTTAGAGAGGGCCTCCTGATATTGGCAGGAGACATAAACCTCCCCCTAGACCCACGGGCGGACACATCTCAGGGGTATAGCACCATACCAGACCACTGTGTGCGCAGGACCAAAAAAGCCCTAAATAGACTTGGCCTGGTTGACTGCTGGAGAGCGGCACACCCTGACGGGAGGGATTACACCTTCTATTCGGCTCCTCACAACCAATATAGTAGGATAGACTATATCTTTGTCGCGCAGGAATACCTCCCTCTGCTCATGTCTGCAGATATAGGGATCCACGGAGACTCCAACCATGCCCTCGTGTCTATACAACTTAAATCGCCCCTCTTCAAGCCGAAGGAACACCAATGGAGACTTAATGAAACCATTCTATCCGACGCGGAATGCATGACTATGACCTCACAAGTGCTCACCCAATACTTCAAAAGGTAATTCCTCCCCGAGGTGTCACCGCTGATTACATGAGAGGCGCATAAATGCGTAGTTATAGGGCACTACATCAGCCTATGCACACAACGCAAACGGGAGAGCACCAGACAAGTCCTGGATCTAACCAAGCGGATAGCAGACCTAGAAACCTTACATAAACAAGAACTGACGGAAAACATATACCTACAACTGACTGACGCAAGAAGACAACTCAGGGACGTACTCTCCCAGAAACTGCTCATCGTGATCCGCAGGTCCAACCGCTATTTTTATGAGTACTCCAACAAATGAGGTAGAATGTTGGCCCAAATCCTGCAACAGAGACAGAGGCAAAACCACATACACAAAATCAATACCCAAGACCGGAAAGAAACGTGACTCCCAGCGGAGATTATGCGGGCGTTTAGGAACTATTACACTGACCTCTACAACTTGGCTGATACGTCTAGCGCTCACAACCCAACACGACACAAACTAGCGGAGTATCTCACCAGACATGTCTCCTGAAAACTCACCCCAGAGAAAGCCACAGACATGGAACAACCCCTGTCACCCAAGGAACTGTACGCGGCGTTCAAGCTAACCAAATCCAACAGAGCGCCGGGACTGGATGGCCTCCCCGCCAGCTACCTTCGCACCTTTAAAGATATACTACTGCCACACCTACTAATGGGCCTAAATTCGATCCTCGAGGGCAGGAAACCTTCCAAAAGAGGGGAAAGACCCAGCCTGCTGTGCTTGTTACCGCCCTATTTCCCTCTTAAATGCTGACCTAAAACTATTTGCGAAAGCCATGGCACCGGAAATGGTGCACCCGGACCAGGAGGGTTTTGTTCCAGGCAGAGAAGCTTGGGGCAATACTATCCGGGCACTGAACATCATCCACTCGGCCAGAAGGCGGGGAGGGGGACTATTCCTCCTCTCCACAGATGCGGAAAAAGCCTTTGACTGAGTGGACTGGGTCTACCTCGCAGCCACGCTACAGCACATGGGCTTCGGTCCCAATATCAGATCCTGGATAGCAGCACTATACACGATTCCAACGGCACAAATCCGAATCAACGGCGTCCTCTCAGACCTGTTCCCCATACGAAATGGTACCTGCCCCCCCTTCTGTTCGCCCTCTCTTTAGAGCCGCTCCTGGAGGCGGTCAGTGCTGATGGGGGAATTTATAAAAGTATCGAAATGAACAAAATAGGACACATTCTTCACACATAAAACTTTTCAACAAGTTAAAGTGCTTTAGGTGTCTGGAGTGTCCCTTTAACATGCTGAATTTCCTTGAAATCTGCATTTTTATAGAGTAAGAACGAGATAACACTATGTTACCCCCTACAGCATGTCAGAAAGCTGAAGTAAGGTAGGGGTTTTGGAGTGTCCCTTTAATTTGCAGTTTGTTTTTCAATTAATACAGGTCATAGTTTAGTGAATAAACACCCAAATATTGAGATTCTGTTTTCAGTTGTAAAACCGTTCACTGTTAAGTAAATACATCCCTTTGCTGCTTTTTTTGTTGACGTATTTCAAAAGGATTTTAAGATTGGTTTCCTTAGTTACTAAGAATAAAAACACTCTGTGGGAAATGCACACATAGAAAGTATTTAATGATTTAATTTTGTTTTTGGCACTAGAATCAAAGCAGACAAATCTCCATGGGGTAAAAGACAGATTTTTTTTTCTGTCACCTGCCCAGACTTTATCCTGATATTTAGACTACATGGAATGCAAAGAGAAAATCAATTACAGCAATGGTCTCTATTTTAATGCATGAGCTATATTGGTTATAATGAATCCATTATTTAAAGTAAGTGAGATTTGTTTAACCCTTCATTAGCAGTGAATTGTTCAGTTTAGAAGACACAGTATAACAGGCCAATTTTAAACATTATTATATATTACTATATGCATCGACTTTTATACAAGGTACGTAACAAATATACATCTAATTATGTTTTTTTTTGGTAAGATAATGTCAGCATTAAATGGACATTATAGGCACCAAAACAACTTTACCTTAATGAAGCAGTCTTGGCTTATAGATCATGCTCCTGCAGTCTCACTTTGCTGACATTTAAGAGTTAAATCTTTAAAACTTTGTTTATGCAGCTCTAATCACATGACCCACACAGCTTACATCAACACTTTTTTTTTTTTACAGAGTAAGAGATAAAAACTTCTAAACTAAGTTAACATTGGTTTGAAAATGAAACCATTTGTTCATGCAGACTGTGTGTGTCACAGCCAGGGAAGGTGTGGCTAGGGCTGTATAAATAGAAACAAAAGTGATTTAACTTCTAAAAGGCAAACAATTGAGTACCGAGGCTGCAGGGGCATGATCTATACACCCAGACTGCTTCACTAAGCTAAAGTTGTTCTGATGCCTATAGTGTCCCTTTAAGTGTCAAGTTCACATGTGTTAAATGTGATGTCATTTATCCATAAGACTCAGAAAAATTAGAAAACATCTTTCACATTTCAACAGAAAAAATCCATAACAAATGTTTAAATGTTCCAAAAAGGTAACAAACAAAATACATTTCAAGCATGATTCACAAAACCAAGCAACATTTTGCAAGTGTTTGGATTCTAAATGATAGAAAATAAGGGGAAATTTATTCATAGTTACCACTAGGTAATTATTTTTCTCCCCCCAACAATACGTATGTCAGTGCTACATTTGCACCTTACCCAATCTAACAAACCAAGGGGAGGGAAAGAACCACAGGGCATATAAATGCTGCAACACTTAATGATATCAGTCTCCATGCTTTCAACTGGGTTAAAAGGATAATCTCCTAATTGACATGAACTGACGTTTGGCCTTAAGTCGGACAGTGAAGAATCACTTAGAGAAGATAATGTGTGATTCCTCACAGGACAAAGTTTCTGGTTCTGAAATCCATTGTCCTGATGTAAAGGCCACTAGGAGGGTGTGTTTTAATGCCATCATCATTAATGAGACTTCTTCCAGTGGTTCAAAAGTAGCAGACACTAGGAGACTTCTTCCAGTGGTTCAAAAGGAGCAGACACTAAGAGACGTCTTCTAGTGGTTCAAAATGAGCAGACACTAGGAGACGTCTTCTAGTGGTTCAAAATGAGCAGACATTAGGAGACTTCTTCCAGTGGTTCAAAAGGAGCAGACACTAGGAGACTTCTTCCAGTGGTTCAAAATGAGCAGACACTAGGAGACTTCTTCCAGTGGTTCAAAATGAGCAGACACTAGGATACTTCTTCTAGTGGTTTAAAATGAGCAGACACTAGGAGACTTCTTCCAGTGGTTCAAAAGGAGCAGACACTAGGAGACTTCTTCCACTGGTTAAAAATGAGAAGACACTAGGAGACTTCTTCCAGTGGTTCAAAAGGAGCAGACACTAGGAGACTTCTTCCAGTGGTTCAAAAGGAGCAGACACTAGGAGACTTCTTCCAGTGGTTCAAAAGGAGCAGACTCTAGCACAGAGAACACTCAAGGCAATTCCCAAGCAGGAATATGGGATTTCACTGGCAGATGCAACTGTAGCACAATTAGATTACTGAATCACTTCTCAATCTTCACACTCCCAATTAGTATGCTTGTGGAGTCGGATGAACCTGAAGCCCCTGTGTCAGTAAAACTGGAATATCCAGAAGGTTCTCATGTACTAAAATCATGATCAAGGGAAACCAATGCCTGCATGTCCAGAATGGTGTAATTGCCAATAACTCTACCTTCTTTCTCCAAATTCTATTAAGCAGTTGTTAGATCAGAGGGGCGTAAGCCTTTCTAAAGTTTCATGTGCATAAATGTACTTCCACTCCCTCCAACAAGGAATGATAACTCATGAAGTCTGGCCGGGTATTTATCTCCCTAGGTAAGTATACCACTGTCAAGTTTGGCAAATTAGTTTTGCCCAAACCTGGAGAATCTGCTATAACACCATCATCTTCCTGCTCTAAGGTCCGACATGACTCAGGAAAGCCTCCAATGTCAAAAGTGTCCATTTGATTCTTTATCCAATGAAACAATGTCTGAAACGCCACCTGAAGCTTCAAAAGATTTAATGATGTAATGAGGTAAAACTCCCTGAGCATATATAGTCTCTCTATAATAATTCTTTTATATTTTGACACTAAGTTCCCTCACTGAAACATCCTCCTTTTGAAGATGCCTGGCCACCATTCAGGCAGATGTAAAACGGAATTCTCACTGTAAAAAATATTGAAGGGATCTTATTAATATATGGCTGACCTTATATTGCTTATTTATTTATTTATTTATTTATTTTTCCCTATAAGAACATGTTGGATTGGATCTTGTCCTTAAGTAATAAAGTGATAGAGAAGGAAGGGAGTAGTGGGAAATGGATTCGGTTATAAGGCTTTTGGACATAAGATGGTAGATTTATCTGTTAAAATTATTTTAGGACTAATTTTCTCCCACTCCGATGGTGTGAAAGATTGTTTGTATGTTTGGGGTTTTGCATTGTGCGATTGTTATTTTTTATACCTGTCCTGTTGATATATGTATTTAGATCAGTATTTATTGTTATTGGATAGGTTTTGTATATATATGTTGTTATGATATTTGTGAGATATGTAATTTTGATGAAATTTTCAATAAAGAAATATTAAAAAAAATATATATATATTGAAGGGTATCTTGAAATGAATGCTGGTCCTGTACAGACACACTAGAAGAGTATTATAGGTTGTCAGCATTGTGTTACACTGGGTCATTGAGTTTGTGTTTATTAGGGATTTTTGTTATTTTCTTCACACTTTCACTCTGTACTGTATATCAATAATTGTGTGGGCTTCCATTTGTGTGCCAACGCCTCATAAATAAACAGGTACAGTGGTACCTTGGTTTAGGAATTTAGTGTGTTCTCCGGGACGTTTTGTATTGCGAAAAATTTGTAAACCGAAACGGAATCATTGAAAACCAAAAAGTCAAAATGAACTGGGATGGAAACAGTAAAAGGCATGCATATGACAAAGCTCAGCTCCCTACCTTTCCACCTCTTGAGAAATGCACCAAAAAAAGTCCCAAAATCGCTGCAAAATTTTTCCAGAATGGCTCCAAAACTCGATGCAAAAAGCTCCAACACCTCCACACTTGATGCCATGTGCTACCCACAGACTCCACCACGCACGGGGGCGGCGCTATATACCTCCCAGGCGCAATGCATCCTGGGGAAACTTGCTTTGTATTGCGAAAAAAAAATTGTAAACCTAGGCATTATTTTCAATGGATTTTCATTTGTAAACCGAAAATTATGTTAACCGAGGTACCACTATATTTTGCATCCTATTTCTTGTTTAGTTTTTTTCTTGAGTGTTGGTAAATCTTATTTCTTTTTCTTATTTTCCTAGCTATTACATGCTAGTAGTTTTTTTCACATTATATAACTTGCTTATGAACATTTATTATTTTGTCTGTCACCCTATTGTACCCTCTTCATTTTGCACCTATCTGTTCTAAAACTATATTAAAGCATCACCTTTATTTACAGCACATTGTTCTTTCTACCCAGAACTTTTAGTATCAAAGGCAATTTCTGTTATTTCTGAAGATTAAACCTGTATGTATCACATCTACGTTAAACAAAAACCCATCACAACTAAAACAAAAAGCGTGTTTAACTTATCTCAGTCCCTCATGCCAGGACCTCTCTCCTAATATGACCCACCATTAATTTACAAACCAGCGTTAATATTTATATTCTATGGCAGGATAATCCACTGCAAAAAGGAGGACAGGTGATTGTTAATGTTCCACAATGGAAGGTAACAGCTAAAAGGTTTATGTTAAGGCTATGTTTCTGTCATTTTATTCGGTTTAACATCAACACACAAAGAGATTTATAGCCTTGAAAATCACATACATCTTCGGAATATCTTTTTCTCCTTGCTCACGGTGGTCTGTGTTTACTGTAACATTCACATTGTAATTTCTAAACCAGTGGTGTTGTTATCATTTTAGCTGGATTCAACAAAAAAAAGATATATTTACTATATAGCATACTGCGTCTTGCCTACTGATCACTATTTATAGAATAGCTCAATCATTTTCTGCAGTGCAAGAGAGACTTCTGTTTACTACATTGTTGTGGACGTAAGAGCATTTCTGGGAAACTCCCACCCTACCTGACCACAATGCTTTCCTCAGCTGTTCCCACTTCCTATATCCTCCGATCCAGTACCAACACTTTACTTAGTCTACCTCAATACAAAAAGAAAGCAGCCCGATCCTATTTCTCCTACAGAGCGCTGCAATTATGGAACCTCCTCCCGCACACTTTAAAATCTTCCCTAAGCCTAAAGTCCTTTAAGAGATCCCTCTCTACATACCTCAAAACAGAATGCACATGTCATGGTTGATTATATATTTCCTACCTGTTCTATGTTAAATTTTGTATTTATTGTGTATTAATATTGTTTTTGTATTTTATTGTATTTTATTGTACCCTATTGTAACAATGCAATGATTTGTGGTCCCAGGACATACTTGAAAACGAGAGAAATCTCAATGTATCTTTCCTGGTAAAATATTTTATAAATAAATAATGTACGTGGTCCCTATGTAGGTACTGTGCATTATGTTTCTCTTTTTGTTATAATAAGTTCATACGTCTTACATTACTCTGAGATTTATTGTTCTAGAGCTCTGTAATACAGTCGCATATACCACACGTTACTGTGATTTATGTTGCTGTGGAGCTCTGTAATACAGTTGCATATGTAACACTTTACTGTGATTTATGTAGCTGTTTTCAGCTCTAATGATGTGTACTTATGGACAAGAGAGAGAGAGAAGTAAGAGGAACCTTGTCCAGTCAGCCTCCTATATTGAGAGCAGATCTGTAGGACCAGTTAAAGAGGGTGTAATACCGTAACCAGATCCTCCAGTGTGAGGCTGGACAGGAAGTGGAATGGATCACTTCCTATCTGCCCACTAACTACCTCTCACACAGGAAATGCCTTGCTGAAGGAGTAGGGACAACATTGAATAGTGTACACTATATATCATAGGACAGCACTGATACACGCTGTATAACTACTCCTGCATCTAACAAGCCTTAAGTCGTTCCCTTCGAAAACCTAAATAAACTAATTCCTTAGTCCCTGATTTAGTCCGTTAAAAACCCTGGAGCTAAACCCAAGAGGCAGCAATTGCCCAGAGCCTGTCTTTCATAGACTTCTCATTGAGCTCTATTGGAAAGCCTGTGATTGGACAGCCACAAAAAGTCTGGGTGTGGTTAAATGTGGAGGGCTTACAAAGGATGCAGACAAGAGATCTGCAGGTTTTACAAGCTGTTCTTAGATTTACTTCAATGAAAATATGCAAAATTAAACACATGCATGATTTAATTGGAGGTATAAATACTAAACAGTGATTTGTAATTTTGTTTGTTTGTATTTGGGCAAAGGAATGTCCCTTTAATCCGCAAAATACTTGTAATTTAACTCTGATGTTAATTTCTTTCTAGACTTAACCCACATTTACCATAACCACTTCTAACATAATCTTTAACCCTGCATGCATTTACATAGCTGCATACACTCACTATACACACAGATTCAAACACAATACATTACAAACAATATATACATATATGCAGTTGCTAAATGTCAATGTTTGTTTTTTAATTGTTTTTAAATCTTAGAAATTATTTGAACTCACTTTATCTCCTTTTGAGAGGGAGGGAGAAGGAGAGAGTGGGCATGAAGTGCCTTAGATTTTGGTACCTACAGGCTCCTGGCATTTAAACCCAGCCCTGCACTGTCATAGTTATTTCTGTGGAGCTATGCAATATATTTATATACACTGTACTTTACGGAGTTCTGTGTTAGAGCTCTGTAATGAATTCATATATTACACATTACTTAGATTTATATTACTGTAGAGATCTGTGATACACCTTGTAATACATTCACATACATTGTATATTACTATGGGTTATATTACTGTAGAGATCTGTGATACCGCTTGTAATCCATTCACATACACTGTATATTACTATGGGTTATATTACTGTAGAGATCAGTGATACAGCTTGTAATCCATTCACATACACTGTATATTACTATGGGTTATGTTACTGTAGAGATCTGTGATACCGCTTGTAATCCATTCACATACATTGTATATTACTATGGGTTATATTACTGTAGAGATCTGTAATACCGCTTGTAATCCATTCACATACATTGTATATTACTATGGGTTATATTACTGTAGAGATCTGTGATACCGCTTGTAATCCATTCACATACATTGTATATTACTATGGGGTTTATTGCGAGCTTTGACAATCAACTTGCAAAACACAGTCCAAAATAGCAGTTAAAATAAATCTCCAACTAGATACATGTAGATTATTTCCCCCCTATTCTATAAATGGTTATGTGTTTTCTCTGTGTGCTCTCCCAATCACACAGTTTAGGAGTGTGTGATGTGAAATAAAACTCTTGTTAATAATTACCTGATATTATCTTGTGCACATTTTATGCATTTGGTTAATGTGTGTCAGAATATAATGTCGCTTTGTTTCCTCCACTTCCAAAATACAGTGCTATGTATGAACCCTATAATAGAAACTAAGGTTCTGACAGCAAATTGGACTCGAGTCTAGACACAACAAACAGTGAGCAGCTGCAAATTCAAATTTAGAGCAAAGTATCAGAGCTGGAAATTTGGGTAAAAATTCCACCATTTTGGTGTTAACTGTGTTAAATTTAGTTTTCAATTCAATACAGTTCAGTACTTTGTGAATAACCCCAAATTGGATAGATTATTATCTTACTTCATCATCTCTTTATTTTTCTACTGAATCAGTTAATCATCCATCCCATCCGTCCATTTATCATCCATCCATCCTATCCGTATATCTGGTCGGCCGGCTTTTTATAATCTATTCATCCATTCTATCTATCCATCCATTCAACCTATACATACAGTATACATTTTATGGGACTGCTGTGTTTGGGCCACATTTTTATTAAAATAAACACAAACAAACAAACATATGCACACACAATTAGATATGCTGCAGTTTATAGAATTATAGATTTCTTATTTAAAATCAGATAGATGATAGATAGTTAATAAGATGTTAATCATTTTGTATTACGACAGAAATCTACTCCAGATAGTTATTCGAAGCTGTTATTGTAATAGAACATATCCCATTGTACAGCGCTACGGAATCTGATGGCACTATATAAATAATAAAATAATATTTCATTATAATATATCAGTGCTCTTTAGATTGCAGTAGTAATGCTTACCGGTTTTTGAAGTGTTTCTAGAATCCGTTCTGGAACACAGAGCCTCCTGTTCTCATCAAATCAGTTTAATGTATGAGGATGTGTCTGTAGAAGACTCAGAGCTAAGGATCTGTGAGTTGGAAGCTTTATTAGTGCACATGGTACACTTATGGAAAACACCAATTGGAAAGGGCCATGGTGATTAGCCAGGCGTACCTTCCAATGTTTTCTTTGATAAGTGGGAATGTTTATCTGTGATTTGTTCTTTGCATTCCTTTGAAACACTCCCTTTGGAAGTTGAGAAAGTTGACCAATCTCAGAAATGCCTGTCTCTTCCAAATTACTCAGGGAGCTTAATTATTAGTAGAACTTGTTGCAAGACTGACCCAGCCAACTTTCCAGAGTTTGTGGTGGAATTATTTTTGGAGAGTTCGTATTGTGGTTTGAGATGAACTCATTGACACAATCTGCAGCTTAGAATGTTTAGTGTGGAATGTGCTATTTGCTTATATTTTCCATACTTTCTTGCACTTAATGTTTTATCAGAAAATGATTTCGATCCTGTAAGAATTTTAGAATATTAGCGTATTTTGTAACACTGTTTATTGTGTTAACCGAATTTCCTAACAAATTGATATTCAGGTAATAACAAAGATATTACAATATTCCTATAGAATGTAAGCTCGATTGAGCAGGGTCCTCTTCAACCTATTGTTCCTGTAAGTTTATTTGTAATTGTCCTATTTATAGTTAAATCCCCTTCTCACAATATTGTAAAGCGCTACGGAATCTGTTGGCGCTATATAAATGGCAATAATAATAATAATAATAATAATAATAATTGTATACTGCAATACTAAAATGTAATTGGGCTGGTGCAACTACTAGTGCAGGGTGATTCTGTGTGCTTAGAGATTAAAGGGATCCTATAGTACCAGAAAAAACAAAGCCGTTTTCCTGGCACTATAGGATTAATAGGTCTGCCCCCCCCCCCTCCCTCGTGCCCCCCTCCCTCGCGCCCCCCCTCCTGTGGCGCAGAAGGGGTTAAAACCTCTTCAGCCTCTTACCTGAATTATTCCTTTTTATGTAAATGTCCAATCATAAGGATCTGTTTATTTTCTTATATTTTTTGTTTGCTATTTACATTTTAAGAATCCTATTTAGAGAAGAACGCAAAATATTTGAGTATTGTCTTCATTTTGACTCTGTGTGTGTGTCTGGTGAAAACAATGCAAAGGTATGATGTTATTTACTAAGCTCAAAACTGAGAAACATTTGTGAATATCTGCTATTTAAAACATTGGTTGTTTGCTAATTCTGCTAAAAATATTAGAAAATAAATTTGGAGTGACCAATTATACAAGCTAGCACGCAGAAACAAAAAAAGTGCACAAGATAAAGTAAACTAATTGTTTAAACTAATTGTGGGGTTGTATTTTACATCTCAAATGAAAACAATATCAACATAATAGTTAAAACATATTTGTTGCTAGTATAGAAATATAGGAATATATTTATGTATAGACTATTGTTTATTGATACATAATACAAATAAAAAATATAAATGTACACTTTTTTAATGTATTCATTCTTTCTTTACAGAATTATGGGGGATAAAAAGGTTTTATGAAACTATACACTATTTCTTATCATGCAATGTTTTAGACAGTAAATTTCAAAATGTAGGCCAGAATACCTGAATTAGAAAATTTGCCCAATTCAATTCCATTGAGAAAAGGAAAGTAAAACAAGGATTAGTTAGATTAACAACAAAAGAAGGAAGGTATGTAGAAGAGGATAATGGTCTATCTGACTGCCTCAATTAATATTTTTGTTCAGTATTTACAGATGAAAATGAAGGGAAGGGGACTCAGTTAGGAAAAATGACAAATGAGTCATTTGTTACACGTGAGTTTACAGAGGAAGGGGTTCTACTTCAACTGTCAAAAGTAAAGACAAATAAGTCGACGGGGCCTGATGGAATACACCCAAAGTTATTAAAAGAGCTTAGTGGTGTACTAGCAAAACTATTAACAGATTTATTTAACCAATCATTGTTAACAGGAGTAGTCCAAGAAGATTGGAAGTTAGTGAATGTTGTGCCCATTCACAAGAAAGGTAATAGGAAGGAGTTGGGCAACTATAGGCCAGTAAGCCTTACTTCAGTAATGGGGAAAGTGATGGAAACCATGTTAAAGGATAGGATTGTTGAACATCTAAAAACACATGGATTTCAAGATCAGAGAAAACATGGGTTTACCTCAGGGAGATCATGCCAAACTAATCTTATTGATTTTTTGATTGGGTAACTAAAATAATAGATCAGGGCGGTGCAGTAGACATTGCTTACCTAGATTTCAGTAAGGCTTTTGACACTGTTCAACATGGAAGTAACTGCAATCTTTACGTTTGGATTCCAATATTGTTGAATGGGGTAGGCAGTGGCTAAATGACAGGCAACAGAGGGTTGTTGTCAACTGAGTATATTCGAAGCAAGGTCTAGTTACCAGTGGGGTACGTCAGGGGTCTGTACTTGGGCCCATTGTCTTTAAAAATTTTATTAGTGATATTGCAGAAGGTCTTGATGGTAAGGTATGTCCTTTTGCTGATGATACTAAGATATGTAACAGGGTTGATGATCCAGGAGGGATAAGCCAAATGGCAAATGATTAAGGTAAACTAGAAAAATTATCAGAGTTGTGGCAACTGACATTTAATGTGGATAAGTGCAAGATAATGCACCTTGGACGTAAAAACCCAAGGGCAGAGTATAGGATATTTGATACCCTACTAACCTCCACATCTGAGGAAAGGGATTTAGGAGTAATTATTTCAGATGACTTAAAGGTAGGCAGACAATGTATTAGAGCAGCTGGAAATACTAGCAGAATGCTTGGTTGTATAGGGAGAGGTATTAGCAGTAGATAGAGAGAAGTGCTCATGCCATTGTACAGAACACTGGTGAGACCTCACTTGGAGTATTGTACTCAGTACTGGAGACCATATATTCAGAAGGATATTGATACTCTAGAAAGAGTTCAGAGAAGGGCTACTAAACTGGTTCATGGATTGCAGGATAAAAATTACCAGGAAAGGTTAAAGGATCTTAACATGTATAGCTTGGAGGAAAGACGAGACGGGGGGGATATGATAGAAACATTTAAATACATAAGGGAATCAACACAGTAAAGGAGGAGACTATATTTAAAAGAAGAAAAACTACCACAACAAGAGAACATAGTCTTAAATTAGTGGGGCAAAGGTTTAAAAACATCATAAAGTATTACTTTACCGATAGGGTAGTGGATGCATGGAATAACCTTCCAGCTGAAGTGGTAGAGATTAACACAGTGAAGCAGTTTAAGCATGCGTGAGATAGGTATAAGGCTATCCTAGACTTAAGATAAGGCCAGGGATTAATTAAAGTATTTCGAAATATTGGGCAGATTAGATGGGCTGAATGGTTCTTATCTGCCGTCACATTCTATGTTTCTATTGTCAGTTTGACTATTTTGGCCTTAAATCTGAAATTTACTTTACTCTGAATTTTCACTTTAGTAAGTAACCCTTTATTTCTCACAATGCAACTGGTGAAACCTTTCTCATATCCCCGCGGCAGAGTGGTGAGAAGTTAGGGGGCGGCTGTGTCAGATGCCGGAAACCCCAATTTCAAAATTAAAGTGTTCCAAACCAGTTTAACCCCCGAAGGTAAGACATTGTTATGCGGGTGGGAGTGCTTCTTTAATTTTATTTCTACTCAGTAACGTGTAAGCGAAAATATATATCACAGTTCAGTATTAAAGCTGTACATAAAAAAACTACAGAAAATTCTGTACCTTGGATGGTGATCTAGTGAATGTCTTGCTCTATGTCACTTCTCTCTGAGCCGTGAGCTGGGTCTCCCACACCGAACGCTCCCCCTGTGTCAATCCTATAATAGATGTCTGTGGGAAAATAACACAACACAAAGACGATAATCCCCTCCAGTGGTTTTTACTCAAATGATTCCTTGCATCGAAAAAAATAGGCTAATTACAATTAACCCTTCCAGTGTCTAACGAAATTAGTCTGGGTTTTGAATGTTAACTCAACTGATGCTCATGCCATCAATAGTCTGCAATAATCTTCTGATATATTTATTTAACAAGTAACCGGCACTAACAACAGGGTATAGGTGTAGTAACACATGGAAGCTGCCCAAATTGAAGCTTTTAGCAGTTACTATTGTTAGTTATCAAAGTCTGTTTTCATGCTACAAACTTTAAAGGTTTACTCCAGGCACCATGACCACTTCAGTGATTTAAAGTTGCTATCGTGCCTGAAGTCACTGAAACACTGCACATGCTGAGTTAAACCTTTGCTGCCAGAAATGTAACTCCCTCTCCAACAGCGCCACTGTGGCGTCATTAATTATCCTGAAACAAGAGGGTCAGCTGACACTCTTAGCCAATGAGTGGCCGGTGGGCAAGGGGACTGACCAATGATGTGATTGTGTCACTGTCTCCACCCAAAAGGCAGTGTGCCCCACCAACATTACTGGCAAGTCAGACTGGCATAAATGCATGACATAAAAATTTAATTTAAAATTGTATAAGGTTACTTAAAATTACCTACCTCAGCAAACAAATATTGGGGTTTTAGTTCACCATATGGCCATATTGTGTTACTTCACAGTACTCCGATATCGGTGGGTCATATGCTAATTTCAATGTGGAAGACAAATCAAATAGTGCCAGTGGTAAATAAGCTAAAGTGTATTTAAATAAGGACATCAATTGAGGAAGCCCTATTGACGAAACACGTCTTGGATGAGATTTGGATGAGATATAAGGAAAAGACCATTCAGATTTTTAATTACTTGTTTTATTTATTTGTTTTTATGCCAATACCAATAGTTGTTAGTTGTTTTATATGTTTATTGTAATAAATTCCCTTTTTTACGGAAGGAATTTTCCCAGTCCATTCTTCCAGAATTCTTCCTGGTTCTATAAGGCACCACGCTGTAAGTTTGGAGCCCATTATATAATAGGTTCCAAAAAAGGTGAGCAATTCAACATATCTTTTGGGGTATATACTCACCTGTTATAAACTGATTGCACCGAGATTGCTGCTCTCTTTTTCACATATATATATATATATATATATATATATATATATATATCTCCATTGTGAAGAAAAGTTCTGAAAATTTGGTCTTAGAAGAAGGTAGAAGTTGCCACCTATATAAAAGGCACAGAAAATGTTTTGTTTAGAGCCTATACCACTAAACGGCTCTAACAAATGTGAGTTTTATGTACGCTTACTTTACATTTAATTGAAAGGTAAACAATATTGCATTATTGCACTATCTGTATTTGTTTTTATTTTATGTATATTAAATTTTG